AATTGTGTTTAATACCATGATTGTTCAATGTCATTAACTTAAATGGAGACAGACATTTGACCTGAAAGACATGAAAGGTGGTGTGGGAGTGCAAAATCAAAAACTAACTGACTATGATATGTGGTTAAAGAATGAATATCAATTACATGGGTCAACATGGTCAAGGGCAGAGTTGTTATAAAATAACAATATGGCAGATAAGTGGTTTCAAGTTTCATATAAAGCGACCTGACTGACATGAAATAAAAAATCGAAGAAGTATCCCTATTTGTCTAATCTTCAAGGTGAAATAAAACTAGTAAAACAATATTATACTATTGTCTCAATATACAGAAATATAATTTGCTTCAAGTAACAGAAATAACTAGGTCACTAGTAACTTATTTAATGAGTATGTTGGGTATAAGAGCTTGCTAACAACAGGCTTCATTTCATAATCATTTGGTTTGAAAAAGATACTAGTAGTCTATATTCTTGATTTAGAAAAATGTAATTGCAAGAAAAAAATCACATTACTTAGAATACTTTAGATCATTCAGGTAGTCTTTATTTGTATGTACAAAAGAACAGCCAGTAGTCATTGGATATTGTAGATCATTCAAATAGTCTTGACCTTTTTATTAGTACAAAAGAACAGCCAGTATTCATTAGATATTGTAGATCATTCCGGTAGTCTTGACCTATTTATTTATACAAAAAAAAAAAGCCAGTAGTATAAATTGGATACTGTAGATCATTCAGGTAGTCTTGACCTATTCATTTGTACTGAAAAACACACACATATACGAATATCAATTATATGCTTACGAGACATGTTGCAATGTTAAACTTATTACGGTATGTGAAAATCAAGACTTGCATAAAAAATATCACAATATTAGAGACAGTGGCGTCATTTTTCCTTAGAGCTTTCAGCTTTTTGATTAATCTATAAATTGTCTCGAAATATAATAAAAATTATTTATATAAGGCTGAGAAACAGATAGAATAAGAGGCATTGACAAGCATCTCTTTCTTTTTTAGAGTTCAGGTAAGAGTTATATTTCTATACAATTTATGGTTATTCTTTTGATTCTGCAACTCGTATAATTGACAACAAATACAATATCTACAACAATGTTAATAACGTCGAAATCATCTGATGACTCCTAATCGGAGTAACAACTCTTGCAATGATTTTTAACAAATTGCAATTTTCACTTGCGATCTCAAAAAGGAAAATCACAAAAATACCGATCTCCGAGGAAAATTTAAAATGGAAAGTGTTACGGCCAGATTCATCTTTAAATTGTAGCCAACAAAAGACACAAATCAATAATAAAAATTAACAAGATTTATTATACACAAGTTTACAAGAAGTATTACACAAATAGAAATGTCAACTTAACTGTCAACATATATGTCCGATCTTTTGTCTTTTCTTTATCCGGAAATTCTTCTCGGGAATCCAAACAGAATATAACGTTCAATAGGCCACAATCTAGTATGAGGTTGTTCGTAAATAAAAGTGTCATCTCAACAACTGCAGAGAACTTCTGAGAATCCCATGTCTAAGTCTGAAAGTTTAACTTTAGTGTCTGTATATATATAGTTGTTACGGAAATTTCTAGGACACTGTAGAAGATAAACTCTTAGAAAACTGTAGAACGGAAATTTCTAGAATATGATAGACGTTGGAATTACATATTGTAGATTATGATCATTCCAGAACTATTATGTAAGTCAAAATAGAAAGTTATAATCATTCCATCAGTATTGTTCTAGTGATTTATAAATTGCACTGTTATAAGAATATTTTGTAAACAACTATAGGGACAGACAAAACAAATTAGGCCAAGATAAATAAATATTATAATTACAATATTATAACAAAAGTCCCTAATCAAATGACAGAATCAAAAGCTCAAAAAAAAACCCACATCAAACGAATGAATAACTGTCATTTTCCTGACTTAGTACAGTCATTTTCTTATGTAGGCAAGGGAGGTAAATTCTCCCCCTTTGAGTTATTGTGTTTGACTGAAACTGTTAAACTTTTGATTTTTTTTCAGATAATTCATTGGTAATATGAATGAGCAGACAGAAACAGTTAAAAGTTAAATTGAAACAAACTTGAAAATTGAGATTTACAAGTCATTTGATTTGTCTTTGACTTTGCGAAGACTTCTAAGTAAAAAGCCATTTGCATCAAGGATATGACATTTTCCCTTGCTTTAACTTGAATGCTCCCGGAAAGCTGTGTATTTGAAAATAAGTTGTTAGTCTTGAAAAATATACTGCTCACAAAGGAAAACATAAATCTAAAAGTTGGCACAGTTTTCCTTGTCAGTTGTTTGAGCTCTCAAGAGCCTCCCATTTTACTGCATGAACTTGTAATTTTATATGTTGGTTTTGCAAACTTTTAGCTATAAAACCAGGTTTAATCCACCATTTTCTACATAAGAAAATGCATGTACCAAGGCAGGAATATAACAGTTTTTATCCATTCGTTTGATGTGTTTGAGGTTTTGATTTTGCCATTTAATTTGACTAGGGACTTTCCGTTTTGAATTTTCCTCGGAGTTGCATTGGGTATTTTTGTTTTTTAATTTTTTTGGTATCGGGCGTACCTAACGGAATCTACACAAGAAACTTGTGTTGTACGCACAGTGATCATTTCATTGTTTGTAACATTGATGTGTTTTTTCACAAAAAAAATATGTTACAACAGAGTTATGACGATTGATGCCGACACTACGTAAGTTTTACGGTCACCAATCATGAATAGGAAAATTAAACGATGCGGTTCTGTGTCTCAAATCACCATGGATATGTGTTCTTGGTCGTAGATCTTTAGATTACAGAAAAGTCGTCTGACCGGATTATGTCCAAATTTTATTGAGCAATTATGACTTTGCTAACCTTATATCGTGCTTTAATGAGAGAGGTAGTCATGTATTTCCTAACCATTGTAGTGATACTGGCTATCTATGATCGAAGTTATCTTGATCGATCTGTCGATCTGTGTCAAAAAGTGTTGTGGTAATCAAATGAACAATATCTTCTTTTAAAATTGCTGTTTGATCGTATATACCTTTTTGAAACCTGTATTATATTAAATACTATGAAGCGTTTTTTATAAACGTCGATCCATATCAAGTTGTACAATTTACAGGTACAATGTGACATTGAATATGTTTAATTATAGGAGACACTGAGGGTTTTCTCCCACTGGCATGCACGATTAACTTGTTTCTCGTTTTCCAATTGACTTGGTGGTGCTTAATCGGTTCGTTAATCACATATCCGACCATCTATATACAGTTGTTTTGGGATAAACTCTCAATCAGTGTCTAGCTATGGTCATCGATCCAGCTTGAATATGTAAACACTTTGTGCATTTGCAATGTAAAACGTGTGACATAGTCGTTTATTTTCTTGTAAAACCGAGTTTAAAAAACGTGACAAAAACATGTCACATTATTTTAAAGATGTGTGCACCTTTGATTTATCATGTTTAAAATAACAAGCTTTTGTAGATTGTAATGAATTGATACTATATAAATAACGGAACTTAAAAATGAAAAAAATATGACAAGTCAGTGTTTTTGTTTTTGAGATGTAATCAATTGAAAATTTGGCGAGGAAAGATTCTCTCTAGATTGTCCAGACATTCAACATTGGCACATTTTTTCTTTAAAAAAATATGAAAAATAACAAGAATTGTGTGACATTTTCAAAAATAACGATTTTAACTTTGTGTTTTAAAGTTATGAAACGAAAAATAGGGGTAAGCGACCAAAATTCATATTAGCACTACATGGATAAAACTAGAGGATTCGGAATATCTGACAAAAAGTGAAAAACAAGGGAAGCGAACTTCCTGAATAATTAAAAAAAAAAAAAACAAACAAAAAACATTAAAGGGGGGGAGTAATATTTAGATTTTACTTCAAGATTATTGATTTTATTTTGTTTTAAATAGCGTGAAGAGTTTTCTGTAAAAACATTGTCCTCTGCTAAATGCATATAAAATGTTAGGGGAAAAAGGTTAAATTTGTTGTTTTTCATATATAATAACGTTTTTATGAAGCACATTTTATATTCATCTCACAATTGGAAAGGTTTGATTGATGATCAGAAATCAATAACAACGATTGTAACGACAATCATCCTTATCGCTACCGTCTTAAAATAGACTTTCACTAATTTTTTAGCTATTTTCACATTTCTTGAGCAGTGTGAGAAAAATATTTCTCATCACTAGTAAAATATCTGTATTCAGCAAATGATTGGTCGAAATTTAATTATGACGTTAAATTTTCTTGATTTCTTCTGAATTTGCTATTGTGACGTCCTAAACAAAGGCAACAATGCCTGATGACGTCACATAAAAAGAACACAACTTTCTAAAAATCTTTGAAAAGGAAGGATAAACATCATTAAAGAAACAGATTCCACCACTATAACTCGTGTATTTACGATATTTATCCACTCTCAACAGTTAAATTTAAATTATTTAAAAAGCTCGGCAAGCCTCGCGCTTTAAACTTTAAAATTTAACTGTCTCGAGTGGAGAAATATCGTAACACACTTGTTGCAGTGATGGGATCTTTATGTATTTATGCAATTTAAAATGTAAGCTCCGTCCGATTAGTTAAAAAAAATGTTATCACTTTGATTTGTCTCAATCAAAGCGAAATCGATTTGACCATCGATACACTACTGTAGCCTTTGTTTTATCTAGATTACTGCAGATTTAAGAAACATTTGGTTTCTTCAAATTTGTATTTGATTTGGCCTTCCAACAGTCTTTACTTAAATTGCAGTGCCACTGATGAGTCTTATGTAGATTAGATCGGCAACTAGCATGATACTGACAAGTTTTTCTACGTGTGGATTATTTTGAGCTACTCTCAAATTTAAACTACTCTCCGTGTAACGGAAATTTAAATTTAATCTAAAAATATTAATTTAAATTATCTTACCTGTTCACCTACTAAAATTTACACTTGCGCTTTAAACATTTCCGGTTATTTGATATCTTGGTAGCTTGGTGACAAATTTGATAATCATTATAATGTCTAAGATGTGTATACAAATACAAAGTGAACATTCATAAAATCAGGTAATGTGTCCATGATGTTTTGCCTAATTGTACCGAAAAAAACAGTTGATCAAAAATTTATGATTATATTTTTACTTTCGGTTTAAGAAATTACAACTAATGCATAATGCAATAGAAATTGTGTGAAAATATGCAGTCAAGCTTATACAGTTTCGTGTTTTAAATTGTCTTTTGATTAACAACAAGTGCTGATACATATCAGTGTGGAGAGTAATTGTTTGGTATGATTCATGGTACTTTGTGACTTTCATACTGAAGTTTGCACGATATGTATGATAAGAAAAGTATTTTGTATATATTTGTCTATTTTTTTTTAGATATTTTTCATTTGAATTTTTGTGCTTATCTACAGTGTTTATTTAGTTTGGTGTTCACCACATTAGTAGCAATAGTGCATACTTTGGTTTAAATGTGTTTTTTCTAATTGGGTTAACCGAAGAAGATGGAGTCGAATTGATGGCAATGCCTTACACAATAATCCACTCTTGTTTAATTTTAGTGCCATCTTTGAACATGTTTTGTGCCTAGACCCTCAAGGCTTGGTAGACAATATGTAAATGGTATTTCAAAAAGATACTTTTACTTAATTTGAAATGAAAAAGGTACTGCAGAATTTATTTTATAGTTCAAGTTAAAAGAATGGCAGATCTAGTTTTTTATGAAAAATCGATTTATAACATACTAAAACGTATATCCCAAAGCGAATTATTATTTCACTATTTGACTTTCATTAATGATTGAAAAAAAATATTTAAAGAGGCACTAGCTACGAGTTATACAACAAAAAAATATTTTTTTTTATGTATAACTCGTAGCTAGTGCCCTTTTGTTCACCGATTTGATTCAAATTCTCATATTTGATTTATATACTAAAACGTATATCCAAAAGCGAATTATTATTTCACTATTTGACTTCATATTTAAAGGGGCACTAGCTACGAATTATACAACAAAAAATTCATAAACAACCTCAGATACATTTCTTAGTCTGCTAAGCCTTGTGAGTTTCGTCGCTTAACATGAATATAAAATAATGATCATTTGTACTTGGCTCTTTTCAATAGGTATGCAATTCATTTTGTTACCCCAGTCGCGAAAACAATCTAGAAATGGCAACAAAACAAACAGTGCACACATTTCTGCAGTCTCAGTAGCCTTATACACTACAAACCAGTAAAAGTCTGAAATGGTCGATATCTGTAATCGACTGTACTGATTTTTACTAGACCAGTCTGAATTGGTCTAAATTTTTACTCGATATTACTCGACCTCAATTTGAACCATATTCGATTGTACTGATTTGTACTTGACCCTTATCTTTGCATTTGAAAATAGTATGAACTATTTCTCGACCAGTCTGAAACAGTCTTAACCCATTCTCGACCTGTACCCGACTAAAACATGCAATACTTGACCAGTTCTCGACCTATTTTTTCAGTCTGAACCATACTCGACCAATGGTCTGAACAATACTCACCCAGTTTGAACCACACTTTACCAAATAACCTCTACTTTTTTAAATTTTAACTGTTAAAAAAACTTCCTTTTTTCTGACATGACAACAGCAATAATAAAGTAAAGATATATAAAACAGATTTTTATATCCTTACATGATTATCAGATTTATCAAATCGAGATAATTTAGGTTATCTAATTTTACAGTCTGAATCTTGTTAAATAAATTTTTTTCTTTTACCTGAAAAAATAAAATAACAAAAATACCGAACTCCGAGGAAAATTCTAAGCGGAAAGGCCCTAAGCAAATGGCAAATTCAAAAGCTCAGACACATAAAACGAATGGATAACAACTGCATTGAGCGTAATGAAACCTTATTAATGTGCTTCTTGTTTGGCATGTGTTTTTTTAAACAAAACTAAATTTTCCTAAATTCTTAAAACAAACCTGCATAGGTTTCATGCTTACATACAAAATTTAGAGCATGATATATTATATAGACATAGAAATAAGATCGAACATATCTTATTCTGTATATTACGGATAATATTCAGATGCCTGATATTATAAAGACAGAAGCGTTATGTTATATTTGTATTTCTCGTTTTATTTGTTGCAATTAATTGTGAACTTAGATTTTTAATGCATCGCTGTACAAGATAACGTGGTTATTTAAACTCACTTACAATACCTTCTTATTAAGAAAAGGCTTTAATTTTGAAAAGAAATAAACACAATAGTTTAAGATATAGATACAATGGATAAACGTTGATTCATGAAAAAAAAAACATTCGCCCTCCGGGATCATAATGGGAACTTCATAATTGGTAGTTCATTTTTTGGCAAGGTGAGGTTTTCGCATGACTTGGCGTTTGTCATTGTCAGTCAATCGTTGACTATTAACCTTTTAACTTTTCTATGCAATAACTGGTCCAATTGGACCACAAACATCCATGGCAAATTTAGTTTTAAATGTATCCAATGAAGATACGTCAGAAATGTCAAACAAATTTACTCTCTATTTTGACTGAAACTTTAAGACAACTCCTTGTAAGAATTATTTGCATTTCATGACTGGTATGGCTTTTGATTAACCCTCATTTATGTTTTGTTGTGAAAACAATGACACACAAGAGAAACTGTAAATAGCAAAAATGAACACCAGTATACAATATACCGAAAGGTCAACGTGGCCTCAATTACCATTCGCTTTCTAATAGAAATGATTGCCTTACAAACACATTTTTCAAATCAAATAGTGCATTTAGTTTAACCTTCCGTCATCTATAAACATGAAAACAACACTCTACAAATTTCATGCGTGTGGAGCGTTTTTTTCTCGATTTACCTTCATCAGCAAAGCTAAAAGCCGAATTAAATTATGTGACACTATTTACTGGAAAAAATAGAACATTATTTGCTAACAATTGATCATGTAAGTGTATTTTGCTTCCTAAGACATTTGATTTTTTATATATATCTGGGTAATGATTTCTCAACTGTTCGTGAAAAAACACCTTTTCATGTGTATATAAATACACACAGTCAAATGCTGAAATGAAGCATCTTTAATTAAATGTAAAATGAAGACCAATAGAAGATGACATAGATTATGTTAATTAACTTATATTTTCTTTTTAGAAGTTTACCAGATGATCATGGGAGATGATGGATCTGACGAACATTTGAAAATATTTAAATGCTTAGTTGATACAGGAGCAGATGTTTTGCGCAGCGCTCTTGAGCGTAAAGTGCTTAATAATAACGTCATCACATTTGAACAGTATTTGGATAATGTTAAACATCAGTTCTACCACCAGTGTGAGAAAAATAGAAATAAGCCATGTTGTTCACAAAGCCCACACGTCAACTGTAATGTAAACGGATATATGGACAAGAAAATATTTAACAAAGTGTACAACAAAAAGACTGAAGTAGATACACATCAATGTTTGGACAGATTTGAAGTCAAAGCTGGTATTTCAACTGATGAACTAGATTTAAGTGATCTCAATTTCTTTTTGTGGAACAGCAATACGTTATCGCTGCAAGAAAAGCAATCTATCCAAACCATAATGACCATCAGAAGTGACATTTGTCACCCGGAATCAACACATTGTTACTCAATTACTGAACTAGAAAATATTTGGCTTTCTTTAGAGGATGATATTTTGTTGTTTGCCGAGCCTTATCGATACAAGAAAATGGTTACATTACAAATAGTGACACTAAAAAAATACAAAGTAAGCGAGATAGAATCAAAAAGAATTATCAACGAAATGCACATCGAATTGGAAAAAATACTTCGTGAATTGAAGCTGGTAGGTTTCCGCGTTTTTTTGTTATTGTTTTTTTTTGCCTTTTTTTTACTTTCTTTAACCAAAAATAAACTTTACGCTCAAGCTTAAGTAAATGGAGTAATTATATTTTTATGTTCTTTAACTATTGGTTTTGTTTTCCCTTGATTCTGTTCGTCTTTTTTGGATATTGTTTTAACGAGAAGAAGTTGTATTTTAAAGCCTACCTTAATACGAATAATAGATTTAAAGTGCTCATCTCTAAGAGAACACCCTAAAGACAAAATTGCTAAAATAAATCCATAGGACAAAAACTCTTTTAAACGTATCTTATTTGCAAAATGAATGCAATTGCACTTAAGTTAATCGCAGATTGAAACATGTGTAACTTTAGTTGGGATTTTCATAAGACAACAGCATAATAGTTAAAAATATAAAAAGTACAATTATAATACGTTTATCTGGGACAAAGTGACTTGAAAAAATACTAATGATAATAACAAAAAACATTTATTTATACTTAATTCTGGAAAGAAATATCAACATGGCTTGCATCAAAAAGTTATTTTCATTTTAATTATTACTATCATTTAAAGGAAGTTCATACTAGAAATGATGGTACAAAACAACTTGTGAAGAAAGAAACTGTGGGACTCAAAAACTGCATCAAAGATACATATAACAAGACAAAATCATTCATAAATAACAATGTTCAGAGATTGACAGGTAGGTAGAAATTTTTGTTTCTCATAATAAAAAAATCAGAAACCAGCATTAATACAACCCGTTGTGTATAACATTTATGATAAATCTGTTTCATATTTGCTATAAAGATTGAACATCATTATTGAAGACTTACTAGGTAGCTTATGCTAATAAATTAAGGCAACATAAGTGTAATGGTTTCAAATATCGTTAATCGATTTAAAAGTGACCGTACAAGGTAACAAACAAACACTTACTTGACACTCACAGGGACACATTTCTTCAGCATGATAATCCTTTTATTACAAAAAACCTTGACACTCACAGGGGCACATTTCTTCAGCAGGATAATCCTTTAATTACAAAATCTTGACACTCACAGGGACACATTTCTTTTATTACAAAACTTAATGAGGAAGAGGTGGGTTACTGTGAGGGACCTTTAACAATGCAGGAATGTTTGTCTTCTCTTAAACATACGAAGAATTTCAAATCACCTGCTATAGATGGATTCACTGTTGGGTTTTACAAATTCTTTTGGAATTATAATAAGATACCACTGGTAAGATGTTTAAATGGAGCTTTGGAATATGGAAAGTTCTCTGTCACCCAAAGACAGGGACTCATTACTTGTAAACCAAAGGATTTAAAAAAAATTTTAGCTGAAGAACTGGCGGCCTATTTCACACTGCTGTGTATAGACTATAAGATAGCTACAGCAAGTCTAGCAAATACACTAAAAAGGTGCTGGTAAATATAATAAGCCGAACACAAAAAAGGTTTCTTAAAGGTAGGTATATAGGCGAATATACTAGATTTATTTATGATCTGATCAAAAAGATGGAGGAATATGACATTCCTGGACTTTTACTTTTAGTTGAATTTGAACAAGCTTTCGGGACAGTCGAATGGTCTTTTATATTAGAGACTTTACAGTTTTATGGCTTTGACCGTAAATTTATAAGTCGGATTTAAGCATGCTTCTGTGATGCCTCTAGTGCAGTGTTAAATAACGGATATATTTCAGAACATTTTTCATGTGCTTGAATTACTCAGTGCAGCTATTAAAATGACCCTGATGTTGCTGGTATAACAATTAATGACTATGAATCTTTGTTGAGTTAATATGCTGACGATTCTGCCCTAGTCCTGGATGGTGATTAAAAGTCCCTAAAACAGTGTTTACATTTTTGATAAATTTTCAGAATGTGCTGGACTTAGGTGTAATGTTGACAAAACTGAAGCCATGTGGATTGGGTCAAAAAGGATAGTATGGAAAACTTTTGCCTGACAAAAATTTTGTTTGGAACCTTTCTGGGAGATTCAAACTATTGGGAATATGGTTTGAGCTTGCTAAACTTGATAAGACTCTATGTAATTTTACAGTCAAGACAAACAATATCAAGTCATTGCTCAATAATTGGGCTTACAAAGAACTAACATTTGTTGGAAGGGTTGTAGTTATTAAAACCTTAGTACTTTTTGGCATGATATTCTGGTAAATTTTTCCAAGTTGCAAAATAAGTTTAAAGTTGAAGACAATACTGATATTCTGACCAAGTCCATATGGTCCGAGTACACAGTTATCGTCCTTTGATTTTCGTTGTCCACGAATAAAGTCCCTAGTGTGGACAGTGTGTTGCTTGCCAATTTTTTTAGTACCCCTTCCAAATGTATTTCTTCATGTTTTATGCCTCAAATAGCAAGTAGGGGGATGAAAATACACTGTAAACATATTTGGGTCATGAATTGTAAAGTAAAGTAGTGATTTGGTCCAGCTGAAAAAGGTTAAAAATTAGCACTTCGGAAGCTGTCAAAAGATTTCAAGACCCCCTTAACATAGAATTGTCCATATTTTGAGTTAGGGCCGATGAAGTTTTCTATAATTTTGATATAATTTGTCCCAAAAGTAGTACAACACACTGTAAAAATATTATTGAGAAAGCGCAGGTGGGATTATTTTTTATTTTCATTTATTGTCTAAAAGAAATGCACTACGAAATAACTGTACTCGGACCATATGGCTGATCCCAAACATCGAAAAAGGTGGCAATATGATTTTGAAGTTCAAATATATTGAAAATTGTATATTCTTTATTAATGATCTGGTGTCAGATAATAATACCTTATTCTAATATGGAGAATTTAAAAAAAAAGTATAATATCAATACTCATTTTGTAGAGTTTTATGGTATTATAAGTGTAATTTCAAATAGATGGAAAAGTATGATAGAAAGAAGCTCTAAATTTGATTATATCGATAATAAATTGGTAGATAAAATTAAAAAGGAACCAAAATCTTGTAAATTTTTCTATAATTTTGTTTGGAAGATAATAAAGCATTAACTTTATCTTCCCGTAATAAATGGGAAATAGATTTAAATAATTATTCAGATTGGAGATTGACTATTTACTCCATGCCTTTTATTATAACCAGAAAAGAGTGTTTACAAAATTTTCAGTTTATGATTGTTCATAGGATTTTATGTAATTCATTTTTATTGAAATGTTTATCAAAAGAAACTTAACTGTAGCGCAAAAGAAGTCATTTTAGGTGTCTGCGGATTTGTCAACAAAAAAATAGTTAATAATATTTTGTTGTTATTTGTACAAATGTACATGTAAGAACATATTGCCCACAAAATATAGTGGGATAGAATATTTAAAATATTGGATTAATATCTGTATGTTTCTTAACCCCTGAACAAAAATTAAAAATAGATCAGAAGTGGCAATTGTTAGAGAAAAGTAAAATCCCAAAAATACCGAACTCAAAGGAATTCAAAACGGAAAGTCCCTTAACAAATGGCAAAATCAAAAGCTCAAACACATCAAACGGATGGATAACAACTGCCATTTTCCTGACATGACACAGGCATTTTCTTATGTAGAAAATGGGGAATTGAACCCGGTTTTATAGCTAGCGAAACCTCTCACTTGAATGACAGTCGCATAAAGTTCCATTATATTGACAACGATGTGTGAACAAAACAAACAGACATAATAGGTAAACATGTCAAAATAGGGGCACAACAGTCAACTTTGTGTTATAATCTTCATCACTATAAAAACAAACAAAACAAAAAAAATATAAAAAAATAGAAGCAGCTTTTAATTTTCAAATGTAACTTAATTTTTTATAATTTGTGTTTAATACTGTAGTATGTAATTTCACATGTTTCCTCATTACACAAATTACAGAAAAAATACCAAAACAAACACTTAAGTGATCACATGAACTAAAAACGGTGCGATATTTGGTTATTGTCTCCTACGATGCATACCCCAACTGTAAAGCACATTATTGTGGGAATTTGTCAAATGAGGATACAAGTAATGATACAGCGATCCTCTCATGCTGACAATTCTACTACATCCTCAATTGAAAACGATACAAAAATTTAATGTGTTGTTAACTCTGAAAATCAAATAAAATTTTGTTATGTGTACTAAGTAAGTTTCTTTTAATTCTCTCATATAGAGAAAACATATCGTTTTTTTTTTCTTAACATAAATAAATGAAAACCCGGCAAACACTTGATATCACATGTTTTTAAAATCTTGAACTACGAATGCAGTGAGACTAGTTCTATAAAGACGATCCTGTTGGTATCTCATACTAAAAGTGACACCAGTTTATCATTGAATCATTGAATAAAAAAGTAAAGTTGATTGAACATATCGTTAGTGAACTGATATATAGAATAGGTACAAACTTCTTTTAAAAATTTTCTTATGCATACACAAAAAAAATTTGTACTCCCCTTAAAACAAACTACTTGAACTGAAGTCTCGAGCCTTTTTGATGGACAATAATTGGTTGAAATTTCACATCGAAAACATATGTGTTTGGCATGTTTGTCTTCCATTGTTTAGTCCCCTTTAATCTCCCTCAATTCAGAAAACATTATGAATACCATTTATTTCAGAATCTTAGGTGCGTTATATCTCAACTAATTTGACCTAAGTACAAATTAATAAAAAAATACGTAATTGAAGAACGTTTCCATAAAAAAAAATGAATACTGTGAAAGTACTTTTATTCGTGGGTATCAATTTTCGTGGTTTGAGCAAAAGTTCCAAGTTAGTGTGTTCTCAAATTCGTGCATTTTAGTTTTGTGAAAGAAAACAAAATTTGGTGAAGAATTTGAAGCCATCTGAAACGAAAAATAGTCATATATTGTTTAATAATATTTTTTTGGACATTGCAAAATAAGGTGTTCATTTTCACCAACTTGTTCGTCTTTTATTCCTGGCAACATTCATCAAATTTTTAATGAGATAATTGTTTTCTGAAATGACCCGATTCAGTTATTCTTACAAATGTTCTCGATTGACGGAAATTGCAAATTAAACATTTTAATTGTTGCACACGTGTAATCTGAAGTGATGCCACTAATTAACCTGATATTGTTTGTCAGCTGTTCAAAAGGAGTCAATTGGGCCATACACATATCACTTAAAGAAAACAGTTACATTAAAAACCTACAAATGTAGTTTTAATAGTTTCAATTGTAGACCTGTTGAATGAAATAAAAAATAGAAAGCCCTTAATGATTTTTTTTTGATTTTTCGTAAGAAAATTATGAGGATATAATATGAACATTTCATCATCGCATATCATCATCGGAAGTCTGACTTTTATCAGTCAATTCCAATTTTCGTGAGAATTAAAAGGGTTGAAAGTCATACTATTTTTTAAAATAAGTGGACAGAATCATGTCTGAAGTTGCATCTTTAGTTCATAGTGCGTTTGCTGATATATGTAGCCAAACCTACGGTAATTGGGATCTTTCCATGGCCTGATTTGGACAACAGTTCTTTTATTCCGTTTGACACTTAAATTCGTGGATAAAGCCATCGACGAAAACCACAAAAATTGGTACCCCACGCAAAAAATTACTTTCACATCAAGTGAAAATCATTTCCAGTTATCTGAAATATCTGAAATATCAAATGTATAACAAACTTATATAGTTACTTTACTTTGCTTTTTATCTGAATGCATTTGAAGGAGTGGG